ACACACAGAATGGAGAGGCTGGTTCACACAAGGATTTCCCAGAGTCACTTTGAGGGTGAGGGTTAAGGTTTGGGTTAGGGGTTAGGGATTAGGGATTAGGGGTTAGGGTTATGGTGAGTGTCAGTGTTAGGTGTTAGGTTTAGGGTCAGGGGTCAGGGTTGGGGTTAAGGTTAGGGACCATTCAGTCCTGGTGGCTGTGCTAGGGTGGGCAGCAAGACAGTAATAGCTTACCCTATGCACACCCTCTGCTAACTCATTTATTTTTGCATCAATCTTATTATTCCCATTTCACCAGTGCCCAGGCAGAGGCCAAGGGTCTCAGTTGGGAACAAGTAAAGCAGGGATTCTATTGCAGGCAGTAGTTTCGCAGGGTACAGGGAGGCCCCAGCAAAGATGCTTGACTGGGCAGATCAGGGAAGGTTTCCAGAGCTGTCTGAAACTGAGAGCAAAGGATGAGGAATCAGTCAGGGAGATGTGATAACACTGTACCAGGCAAGAAGCTGGGAAGGAACAGGATGGAGAAAAACCACTGCCCTGCTCCCCATTTAGTGTTAAGACTTATCTCCAATGGAAAAATATTTACCTCCTTTGCTTTGTTTATATGAATGTCTAGTCTATTTCATCAGAGATCAAAGCCTTTGCATTTTCTCCTTCAACTTTTTCATCAGTTGTGACAGCTAATTTCAAAGATAACTGAGCCACTGGCTTCTGAAGGTTTGTTCACATTTTTTAGTCTGTAAATTTCTAAAAGCTGGAGCCCATCTTTCTTTCTTCCCCACTGTACTTAGCACAGTAGCTTATTAAATATTTGTTAAATAAATAAATAAAGTGAGGGCATCATTTAGTCTTAGAAACAAAGTACAGCTACATCCAAAAGTCTTATTGGCTTATTCTGGTCCTTTGAAATGCTAGGACTTATTCTCATCAAGCTTAGTATTGCATTTGTACTGACTGTTTGTTATGAATCTTCTATCATCCTTCAATTCAAATATACATATGTTATGTATACAACATATATGTATGTACAAATATATGTTATGTAAGTATTAGTATACATTTTTCTTTTGGTACTGGGGATCAAACTCAGGACCTTGTACTTGTGAGGCTGGTGGCGGAACCACTGAGCTAAATCCCTGGCCCAATATACATTTTTTTTTTGCCTGGTAAAAATGAGGAAAAATCTTCAGAAATAGTTTCACAGCTGCTGTCAAACATTCAGATGGTGAATTCAGAATGGGCCCCGCTGCTTATCCAGGGGGAAAGGGTCTGCAGACCCTGCCTCCATATCAAAGCCATCTCAGGGAGTTGCTGATTTAATTGGTCTGGGAGCAGGTCTGGGCATCAATATTTTTTATAAAGCTCCTTAGGGTGACTGTACTGTGTCACCATCATGGAGAGCCACTAGGTCAGAGCAATGTGACTTTTTATCAGGGTGCGGGTACAATGAACAAAGATGGCTCCAAAGGCGAGAGTGGGGCCAACGTGGAGGAAAACGATTTTCCACATAACCTTCTCACTTGTCCCTGGCACTGGGCCTCAGCATCTCTGAGCTCTGCTGGAAGGCTCAGAACATGTGGCTCATCCCAGGGAGGTAGTAAATGACCATGGATGCACTCTGACCTCACAGGCTGCACCCCTCCCGCCTTCCCAACCGTGGGCAACAACATAATGTGGTTTTTATTACACAGCTACAAGGAAGAGCCTTCATACTTAGTGGTCAAATAGAAGAAAAAAGAAAACTATCCCTGTTTGTTTTGGGCATCAGCAGTAAGGAAAGGGTGACCTTCTCCGTCTGTCCCAGACAGGAAGAGAAAGTCAGCTGGTTCCCAGGGGAGAGCTGGGGGTTGGGGGCAGCAGCTCTATGGTGGAGGGAAGTGAAAGAGACCTGTGGATTGTGTCAGGAGCCACCTTGTGCCACGCTGGGTGTTCTCACCAGGCCGGAGAAAAGCGATCGAAGATGGGGAGATTGGGCTGGAGATGTAGCTCAGTGGCAGAGCCCTGGATGGCATACATGAGGCGGTGGGTTCGAGCCCCAGTACTAAAAAAAAAAGAGGAGGAGGAGCAGGAAGATGAGGAGGAGGAGGAAGGAGAGGGAAAAAGGAGAAAAGTGTCCCTCCACATGAGGTCATTGTGTGGCTAGGGATGATCAGAGCAGAGTCTGAAACTGGCATCTTTGTGTACTGGCAGATACTGGACACGTGTGTGTTTGTGTGTGTGTGTGTGTGTGTGTGTGTGTGTCTTTCTAAGGGAAAGTGTTCTATTTTTCATTAGTTTCTCAAAGATTAAGGATGAAAACTGGACTTGAGCAACATCCACGCTAAACTGAACACCTATTTGTCAGATTTGTCCCACTGCAGGTGGCAGGGCTGGGCCTCAGCAGATGACAGAAGCAGCTGACATTCATTCTCTGTGCTCAGCTTGTCTGCCCAGAGCTCCCACTCAAGCTTCCCCACCCTCAGATGACCCGAGCACAGCAAACTGTCACCAGCCTGTCCTCCACTCCAGGTTGGGCTTTCTTCCCCAGTGCAAACACAGGGATTCCCTTTGTTTACCTACATCTCTGACCTTCCCTTCTGCCTTTGTGTTCCCAAACTTGCATCCATGTTTTTTCCCTGTTTCTATCTAGGTGCAATGCCCTGCCCTGGACCCGAAAAGTTCAGTGACTATGATGTCAGTCTTGAGAGACCCTGGCCAGCCTTCTGGGTATTGGCTCCCATCTTGATTTGTCACCCACAATATTCTAAGCAGGGAACAGAGTCCAGCCCTTGTCTACCACATGTTTCATAAAGTCCATGGGAGGCCAGATTATTTTAGAGGAAACTGATAGTACTAACTTTATCACTACTACACTATAATAAAACTAGCTAACTTGTCTTAGTTGTGTGTGTGTGTGGGGGGGGAGAAATCCTTATTGCTCCCATTTATATGAGCTGCTTATCATGCATGTCTTAATTTCCACATAATTTCCACTGTAAGGAATGTGGATCATTATGTGGGTCAGTGGCCTTTCATCCAAAGCTGAACCCTATTCAGGTATGTTCAGTTTTGAATGTTTGCTGATCCTGTGGCCAGGCAGTCTGCTTTCAATTTAGGGGGAAAAATCATTTGAAAAGAATGTGGCTTAGACATGGAAGCAAAGGAGGGGACGGGGCCTAATAGGCCAGGGCCCTCTGCATCTTTCATGATGAGCTGTATATCCCTAGGGGGGTCAATTTACTTCTCTGGGCTTCCTTTCCTCCTTTCCATGGTGGAAAGCCCTGAGTGCTGGCTTTCCATTTTTTTCCCTTAAGCTATAGTTCCCTTCCTTCTTTTCCTAAGCGAAACATGTAGATGCCCAATGTACAAAGCAGGTAAAAGAACAGCTGCCTCAGGGTGCTTCTGAAGTTTCGTCACAGGACCTTAAAGCTCAGGTTCATCCTATGATGTATGACTTTGTAAGAATGTGGCAGGGCTAGCAAGCACCCCTATGCAGCTCTCACAGCCTTAGAGAGAAGGCCCAGAATAATACCCGCATGTGGAAGGTAGCTTGCTAGGAGCATTCCTAGTGTACCTGGAGGTTAACCCGAAGGCCCTTGCAAAACCAGATGGAGGGAAATATTTCATTGTAGATGTCTGACCATAGTGATTAAGCTGTATATTTGGAGTTTCTTCATATTAAAAACAAAACATTCAATCCAAAGGATTTATTTTTCAAATCAACCTCTCCAGATTGTTGGTGAGAATGAAATAAATTGACTCAGTTATGCCTCAATTTCTAAAGAGGCAGTTTTGGAAGCTGTGGTTCCCCAAGCTCTAAAACGCTAAAGCCATTTGTCCTAATGACACAGCAGACTCTGAACTCTTGAATACCACAGGAATATCACACCACTCACTGCAAATTACTAGGGGTGCTGAGTCTTCAAAAAAAAGGGAAGTGAAACAAAAGCACTGCACTGTTTTTGAGATGTGTACTGGATATGTGCAAATGGAATAGTTTTTGAGATTATTTTCCTGGAGGCAGAATTATTCTGCACAGTTACACAGCATTAAGTTTTCCCTTTGTTGTATCTATCCATGTATAAACACATAGCCCATATAGTGGGCTCTCTTCTCTCTCATTGAGGCTTCCAAAGACAAGGCCTTTTTGTATAAGTAAGTGCAGGGCCAGTCAGCTTTACAAAAGGAGTTATTTAATGCTCAATTTTCCCAACTTTCCTATGATTAAATACTTCTAATCTCAAATGCTGTTAGTATATTCTAGATTGTTTTCTTTTTCCCTCCCTCCAACAAATGTTTAAATTGTCTCTACTCTCCTGCCCCCCCCCCTTTCAATCTGACCTTTAAAACTGAGACACTGTCCTTTTCTCTTACATATTCTCAACCATTTTAAAGTCAAGGCCCTTTGACCTTTCCAGCACAGGACTTTTGCCCACCACACCAAATACTAAGCTGAAAGCCAAGAGGAGGTAGTCTGGAGGAAGGGGTGGGAAGGGGGTACTTATATTTGGCATCGGTTCAGAAATTCGGAAAATGTTTGTACAACCACTCTCCCAGCCAGGATCCCCCCCTCCCCCCACCGCTTTCTAGCACATCAATAAAAAAAGGACGTGAGCGGATGAAATCCGAGAGTCCAGGAGGGACAGCTAAGGCGGTCACAACTGTACACTCGGGCAGCCCGCTGACCACCGTCCCACACGTCCACCTCTCATCCCTCCCTGCTGACATCCAAAGTGTAGGCTCCTCACTTCTTCTCCACCCCCGGGATGGCCAGTGAAATTGGCAACAGCACTGCCCATTAACGGCTCAGGAGAGACACCCGAACCACCAACGCAGCCCATGCACGTCGGGGTGGCAGCTCTGTGCACCTAAGAATCAAGTATGTTCTTTAAGAAGAAGAAGAAAAAAAAAAGTACAACGAGAGCACAAGCCTGGAATACATTAACTTGTGAACTGAATCCAACACACCCCAAGAGAATCCACCGCTCCCTCCAACAAAAGGGGGTCGGGAGGAGGCACTTTACCATCCTGTCCTGAGCTCTCCAGATATTCGGTCAGGTCACAGCCAAACGCGGTGGCGGCTCCCTTGCGTTTCACCTTCTGCTTGGCACCCTTGTTCTTCATGAGTTAGTCCGCAGAGGCTGCCTCGGTGCCCCTCCCTCTGCTCAGCCCCGCGCGGACGGCGGGCTCGGGTTCGATCACGGGCTGCGGCGCGGCGCCGGGGTCCGCATGGGCGAGGGAGCGGGGACGGGGCGGGGCGCGGGGCGCTGCGCACTGAGCCTGCGATCCGCCCCGGGCGCCTCCCGGGCCGCCCGCTGCTCGCAGTGTCACTTCCTCGCTGGGCGTCCCGGGGCTCTCCCGGCTCCGGCGGGCTCTCCGGGCGCAGGTCCTCTGCTCCACGGAGAGGCCGAGCTCTCCTCTGTGCCCGGGACGCGCGGGCGGGCGCGGCGAGGGGCGCGGACCCAGCCCCGGGCCGCGCTGGTCTTCGGCCCTGGGCCCGCGGTCTGGCCTTCAGACGGCTCTGGAAAAGCGAAAAACAAGCATCCTGTCTCCCTCGCCCGCCCTCACGCCTTCCTTTTTTTCCTGTCTTACAAATCCTAGGCTCATCCAGCTCAGGAAGCGCTGGAAGGAAGTTAGCTAGAGAGGGGGGCGGAGGGTGGAAACTTTTGGCAGCCCGGTGCCTGCGCGTTGGGAGCCGGAGGAAGTAGGTGGGTGGGTGAAGGAGAGCGCTCCCTCCCCGGGGGCCGGTCCCGACTCCGGGCTCTCCGGCTGGCCCAGAGGAAGTCGCTGCGCTCCCCCGGGGACCCGCAGCCCCGCGCCGCCTCGGGTCCGGCGCTCGGCTCTCGGAGCCGCCCAGGAGGAGGTGCCCCGCGTTCCCAGGGGGCGGGAGGGGCGCTCGGGACCCGGCCTGAGGCTTATCCCCGCTGTCATCCCGTCTTTGACACTTTCTATTTCAGTGCCTGCCTCTTCCCTCCACAAACACTTAAGAGTCAGGACAGAAACAAAGACGGGGACCCCAGGGGAGGAACCTGTCGGGCCGGGGATTCACGCTGGCCACTCCTACCCAGCCCCTGGGATCCAGGTACCCCCAGGCCCTCCCTTCCCACTGCGGGGAACAGAGGCTGCTGCTTTGCTACCAGGGCCAGGAAAGTCAAATTTCTAGTCACAGGTCCAAGAGCACAGACATATGCGCTCACACGCACTGCGCATCATTGCAAAGTGTGCTAAATATAAGTGATGGGGGGGCTGGTGGTGGTTAGGATTTAAGAAACCTCTTATAGTTTAGCATAATGTAGAGGAAACAGTCTCTGAATTGTTTCATAATTTGTCTCAAGTTGTTTCAGGAGGGCTTGTTTTTCCTTCTCCAGTTAGATTTAAAATTCCTTGACTTCTGTGTACTCAGCACACAGTAAGCACTCAAATTCTTGTGATTTAACCATTTGAGGATTAGATTAAACTTCCTGTATAAATTCAAATCCATATATAGGCTTGAAGCGTAGGGATATATACACAGCTCAGATTGCTGCCAAAAGCTTTATGTACAGTATTTTAGTTACTGAATCCCTCACAGTCGCTCCTGTGTTGCCATTGACAGTTTATGAACTTTGACCCTTGGCCTTTCTGTATGTCAGGTCACAACCTGATGGCCACTGTACCAAAACTGCCATACAGGTGTGTTTGGTTTGGCACATGCTATGGTTTAATTTTTTAAAAAATTAATAGCCAACATTAAAGAGTTAAAAATTTTTTTACATAATCTGGATAATCTGGATTTCTGCCTTCTCTTGCAAAAGAAAGGAAGATCTGGTTATACCGCAAGTGCATTCCCATATGGCAAGGGCTGCTGATGCCCAGTCACAATGGCCCCTTGGGAAACGAACCTTCCAGTTTTGCAGCCTCAACTGCCCTCTTTGCACCTGGCTGGCCCCTAAACCCACCTGATTTGCACCCCAACCCCTAAACTCTCTCTATAGTCTCTCTTTCCTTCCATTTCTCTGTCCGTGTCCGTTTCAGTGCCAGCAGTACCAGTCTTGGCCAGACATCTTCATGTCACCACTGACTCATTTCTCTGTTGCCACCCCCACCTCCAAGCTAGTCCCGCCCAGAGGATGAGTCCTTCAAAATGTCCCTCAGCCAGGGCTCGTCTATCCAGGCCCACTGGAAAAGATCATCTACTCCTTAGTTGTTAGAATAATTCCTAGAGGAACTGACTGAGAGCAGACTCCTCCCACTTCATCTGTCCTCCACAGCAAGAGGACTACAGGATCTTCCTGAAGTGTGGTGGCTGTTGTCTGCCTGCTTGCTCAGAACCCTTAGTGACTCCGTTTCCTAGTGCCACGGCAGCAGTTTTTAGGCATTCTGTGAGCTGCCGATTTCCTGGCATGCAAAGTTATATGGAGATAGTGTAAGAATGTTAACTGAAGGGGTAAATAGACTATTTGGTGATCATGTAAATTAGGCTTCTGGTGGATTGTCAGGATGTAGATTTCCTAGAAAAGCACTGTCCTTACAGGGAGATACCACTGAAGGGATTTGTGGTTTTGTACAATCTCATTATCTGTACCTGTTGAGGAGTGATACCCATCCAAGTATCGAAGTGTGCCATCTTCTTCCTTCATCACCAAGAATGCTAACAGCTATCTTTGCTGTAAGTAGGTATAGACGACAGGGGCACTGGAATGTTTTAGTGTCAAGTGATCTGAGTTCTTCTGTTAGCTGGTTTGTCCATAAAAGCATATTCAGCTGTCAACAATTTCTGCATTTTCCCTCCTCTTTTAGCAACTAATTAAATGCTCTTATAGGACTCTCTGCCCATGGGCTGTTATGAGGGGTTCTAATTCCATGTGCCAGGGAGCTAGAGTGGTAGCTTACTCTCTGGCTGAGTACATTTCCTTCCCCACTTCCCCTGCACCCCAGCCTCCCCTGCACTGAAGGGAGTCTGTGTGGTATCTCGAGGTGGGACCACCCAGGAGATGAGGCTTTTCTGGGAGACAGGCTCAGAGGTGCCCAGAGATTCTAAAGATAGGAGAGGATGAGGGTGACCACAGCAAAGGGGCTTCTAAAAAGTTATATATTCCGAGCTCCAGTACTGCGTTTCCCTGTGTATGGGTTCCTCGACTTACGTCATGTTGCAAAAGTTTGCCTATAAATGTCTAAATGAGGTTGAATTAGATTCCTTAGTGGGGAGGGCCAAGAATTTAGCTCAGTGGCACCGAACATGTCTCAAAAGTGCAAGTTCTGAGTTTGATCCTCGGTACCAAAAAAACAAAAAGATTCCTTAGAGGGGCTGGAGGGGTTGTAGAGGGCCCTATTACCAATCCCTCATCAAATACAGCTGAGTGAAGGGAGGTCAGCTTGATGTGAAAGAAGGAATTCGAACCAGAATCAGTCTCCCATCCTGAGATCCTGTTGCCCTACCATCTCTGTAACTGTGAAAGCCAGCATTGATTCTAAAAGGGCCTCAAGGGCAAGTGGGCACAGTTCGAAGAATGGAGGAGCTAGGGCTAGTGGCCCAGGTCTTTAATGCCAGCAGTCAGGAGGCTGAGGCAGGAGGACCGAGAGTTCAAGGCCAACCTGGGCCAACTAGCATGTTTGAGGCCGACCTGGACTACATAGGGAGACCCTGTCTCAAAAAACAAACAAAAGGAATTGAGAAGAAGGGGACTTTAAATGACCAGTCTCAGACTAAATGTTGAAGAATAGACTCAATCATTATATAATTTCCTCTCTCTCTCTTTCTCCATATATATGTATGTATATATGTACTATATATATTCCTTTTATATATATATTCCTTTTCAGTTACTGAAGTTGCAAAACTGCATTCATCAGGGAGAGGGAGAGGGAGAGAGACTGGCATTCATCCTCACATCCATATCTCAGAATACAATTCAATTTTGGAGGCTAGTAAGTGTAAAAACCTTTTTTTTGGAGAACGATAAAACATACTTTTCTATACATCAAGGACCATATGAAAACAAAGTACAGGAGGAAATGTTCTTTGATAGCATAAAATTCAGGACTGAGCAGAAACTGGGAGGTTAGGATTAGAGGTGAGGTGAGGCATCTACATATAGCATTTGAAATTATTTGAGAAAAATTTCCCCACCAATATTTTAGTTTTACTCTTAATTTCTTTGTGCTGAGTACTGTATTGTTAAAAAAAAAAAGAGAGGGCCAGGGATTTAGCTCAGCAGTTTCGCCACCTGCTGCGCAAGCACAAGGACCTGAGTTTGATCCCCGGTACAAAAAAAAAAGAGAGAGAGAGAAAGGGAGAGAAGTCTTTTATGTTCTACTGAGTGTTTTGAAAATGACATTTGACCCATATGGATAGTTTTGGCATTAAAGGGGTCTTTAGGATTTCAGAAGTGATGATCAAATCAGAGGGCACAAGACCCCCTTGTCCCTGTATACCATGGGCCCTGGATCTCCCAAACAGCAGCAGGACACTTCCTTCCTAGAGCCACATGTGGCAAAGGAACTTCACAAGACGGGAAAGAGAGCCAAGTGCCCTGGGTTGAATTACTATTATACCCACGTCTGAATCTGCTCAGTGTCCAGCCTCAGGCCCTAGGTCTGAATTTGGATCTGTTTGGCTTGAGGCTTCTGTCAGAGGCCCAGAGGGAAAACTGTTGGGCCTGTTCCCACAGGCAGCAGCCTCCAGGGACCTGGCAGGATCTGCCTTGAGGACCTAGCTGTGGGTTCTAGGGTCCCTCTCAGCAGCTGGGTTTGAGAGGATTTCTCCTGCCCTGGGTACTATTGTTGGAGTTCCCAAACTGGACAGTCTTTGGGTAGTAAACCTTCATTCCTCACAGAATATGGAAGTCCTCAGGACAGAGACTGACAAGACTACTTGACTTATTTCAATAATCTTGGTTTTGTTTTGTTGCCTCATTCTGCATCAGTATCCCCTTTCACTCTGTTCGGAACCCGATTTGGACACATCACCCGCTTTCTGTCCTGAGGAAAGACAACCATAGGAGGAGCAGAACTGTGGTTCTGAGCTCCATCTGTCTCCCTCCAGGGTGTCTGAACCCTGGAGCAGGCGATTTCTGAGGTGGGTGGGGAACTGTCCCAGTCCCGTTCATTGTGTTCCATAGTTTCCTGTACACTGCCTGTAACCCTTTACCAATCTGCCAGGCGCCTTTAAACACAAAAGGGAGGAGATGGGGGAAGGGAGCTCTGAGGAAAAACATCCCTATAAATAGCCCTCTTGAACAAAATTGTTTTC